TTCTTACAAATAAAATATGTAATGTGTCAGAAGGGGAGTGAACCTTACAGAGGGGGCCTGGGGAGTGTGAGGAGGAATCCCAGCACAGGAGCTGGACTTGTTCTAGAAGTGACATCCCCATTTCTTTGTGGAGCCGCTGGATGCATATTCCCTGTGACAGACAGGGCCAGCAGCTGCCTGATGCTCCAACACAACTTTAATGTCAATGTAGCTGTTTCTATGAATGAATACACAAGTGGTGTCACATGATGCTGAGAGGGAAATTGGCCTGACGGGACAGCCCATCTGCAGCTCTACACCAACACATGCCCTTGTCCCATCTTCTCCTCAGTGGAGGTCCAAGGCCTGTTCTTACTAAAAAGTTAAGGCTGTATGCAAGCCAGGAAGTAGCCTTCATGTCCCAGATCTGCCTGGCTTTGCCCTTTCTAGCTGTGTGATCTTAATTCTCTATGCCTTGGGTCCCTTATCTCTGAAGTGGGGATGGTAATAGCATTGACCTAATAGGGTTATTGTGAGCATTAAATGAATGCATGTGGGTAAAACAGGTCAGTGCCTGGCCCATCGAAGACCTGGAAAGTAACAGGTGTTAGCTGTGATTGTGCTGTGTGCACAATCCCTCTGTGGTTTGGAGCATTTGTTATCCTCTCTGAGCCACAGCCGCTGCTGTACATGTGTAAACACTCTCTACAGAATTTGGGAAATGCAGCCTGGGTGGCTTCCTGGGAAACATAGATTAGGAATGGATGCCCCAGGGAGGTAAGGTTGACAGGTGTAGCAAAGAAAACTACAGGGAGCCCAGTTACATTTTAATTTCAGATAAATAGCAAATGCTTTCTTTGCTATAGCTATTTCCCATTCAATACAGTGTTTGGAACATAAACTTAAAAAATTAATAACTGAAATTCAAATTTAACCAGGTGTCCTATATTTATTCTGGCAACCCTACTGGGAGGGTTTCATCAAAGCATTGCCCTCTGACCTGGTGGCCTACAACCTGCTGAAGTGGCAGGGCAGGAGCCAGGGTTTGAAACCAACGGACCATTCCAGAACCCCAAAGTCATGCCTTCTGTGACTTCAGACCTTGTCATGGCTCTTCACGGTGTCTGTGCAGCATTGCATGGTGCTCACGCCCCGGTAGGCATTCAGAAGAAACTGTGTTGACTTGATTTATTGAATGAATGAATGAAGGAAGGAAGGAATGAGGTTATTGTGGGTCTGAAGGCTGTGGAGTATGATTGGAGGGGGCATCAAGAGGCTCCATTCCTCAACATTTGTTACCATGCTTCCCTGAGGTCTGAAGACTTTCCCATGAGACAGCCATTCCTTAGAGCTAAGGAATTTGTCCACTGGCACCTCCATTAAAGCAGAGTAGGCCTGGGAGGGGCCATTCTCAGTGCCAGCACCCCTTCACATATTGGCAGGCTCTGTGAGTTACACCGGGTGTGTGTAGGTGGGGACACTCAGGGCTCTGGGGTCAGGATGCCTGCATTTGCATCCCAGCTCCATTCACTGAAATAGACATTGATTCTCCCTATATTTTCCCCATCTCCCATTTCAGTATGACAGCCTCGCAAGTTGCTCAAAGGCAACTATTCTCCATGCCTTGGTGCAGGACTAAACACATTGAAGAGCTTATGCCGAATGCCATTGAGGGTAGTGAGAAAAAGAGAGATTGAGAGAGAGAGTGATGTTTCCCCAGAGTGGGTTGGGACACAGTGAGGATCTGGGAACTATCTGGCAAAAGCAAACTGGGGAAATAACAAGAGCTTAGAGGAGTTATCTGGCTACTTTCTGAAGGTTCCAGGCCCTAGGAGTTGTGTGGGGCTGAAAGGACAACAAGGGCAGGATGATGGTGTCTCAATAGTAGACAGTACAGACAGATCAACAACAAGGGTTATTGAGTGCTTTGTGCCTGGGACCGTGGTAAACGCTCTCTTAGAGGTATTCATTCATCCTTTCAGTAGCCGCTTCTGTTTCCCCTTGAGAAGCTGAGGGGCGGCGAGTTTAACTTCAGAACCACCAGGAGGTCTTCTTTGAAGTCTCAGCTTGCATTAGATGTCAGGTGAGAGATTTTTATGGTGACAGAGGGTAAATTTCTCTCAAGCTGGAGAAGATGAAGACTTATATTTGTATTTGAGTCAATTCAAAGGAAAAAAAAAGAAATGTGATATTTGAGTTTTCATCTGAAATCTGGACTCCCTCCCTGTACACCTTCATTATGGGGATTGGTTCGTTGGAGGCCCATTGAGGCAGAGGGATGCGCAGGCATCGGACTGTTCCTTAGGGAGCGACTGCGAGGGGTTCTGCTCGATTTACCTCTTGGCAGTCATCAGAGCCTCCCTGGGGGAGGAGGGGGCTGGGAGAGAGTGGCAGGGGCTTCCCGTGCGAGCGCTAAGTCTGAGCCCTGTGCCCCAAGCTGCCCCGCGCCCGCCACAGCCTCCCGGAAAGGCTCTGAGTCTGAGCACAGTATCTCCGAAGGCCGCTAGAGGCAGTGTCAGCCTGCGCTTCCCAGGGCCAGCCGAGCCGTCGGCCTCCTGAGAATCCCCAGGAGCTTTCCCAAACAGGCAGATGCTGGTACCAGTGCTGGAGGTTCCCGTTCGGTGTGTCTGGGGCAGAGCCCTAGGAATCTGTATTTTCACAGGCACCTCCAGTCGACTGTGGTGGGCAGTCAGGTTTGGGAACCATTGATTCAGACTTACCTTCTGCCCACTTCCAGAATCCTCCCTGGCCTCCTGGCGCGGCCTCGGACCACAGCTCATCACCCTCGCTGGAACATTCCTTGCTGTCGATTTTTCAGAATGCCTGACAGTTCTTTTTATTTCCACTGAGCCAAAGGCTCGCCTCCCGCTGCTGTCCTCTGACCCGCATCCTCCCAACAGTGCTGTGCTGGGCCTGCGTTCCCCAGCATCTCGTGGGTCACCTCTCCCTGCCTGCTGTCCTCGGGGCGGCTTTCCTCCTGGAGACACAAGGCTCCTGGACCGCCCGCCCTGCGCCTGTTCACTGGACATGTCTGCTGACCCCTCTGTAAATGCACAGCCACACTGGAGCCTTACCCTCAAAGACGTCTGATGGGGAGAAGAGGCACAGAACCCCCTTTTCCCCTGGGAAGCCACTGCCTTTCTGGTGGGACCTATGTAGGTCGAAGAGCTGATCATACTAAAGGGAAAGTTAAGTGCAGAATAGTACTCTTCTCATTTTCACACTGGCCCAATTCCACAACTCTTCTTACTAAAAAAAAAAAAAAATTCGACCTGGCATGGTGGCTCACGCCTCTAATCCCAGCACTTTGGGAGACGGAGGTGGGCAGATCACCTGAGGCCAGGAGTTTGAGACCAGCCTGGCTAACACAGGGAAACCTCATCTCTATTCTACTAAAAATACAGAAATTAGCCGGGTGTGGTGGCGTGCACCTGTAACCCTAGCTACTCAGGAGCTGAGCCACGAGAATGGCTCTTGAACCGGGGAGACAGAGTTGTAGGGAGCCAAGATGGTGCCACTGCACTCCATCCTGGGAGCTAGAGTGAGACTCTGCCTAAAAAAAAAAAAAAATTACCTTAACATATTTATTCAGTTGCTACTAGAGTATGTATACTGTTTCATATTGTGCCATTTTCATAAAATACTGTCTTCCCACATCTCTGCATGGTCTTCCTAATTCCATCATAATGGCTGCACAGTACCACATCCTGTGGCCTGAGTTCAAGTCTCTGTCTTCCACCAGCATGCTGCTGGGACCCTGATGTGCCATTGTTCCTCTCCATGAGCTGATACCATCCCCAAGGGCCTGGCATGCTTGTCCGTCATTTTGTTTCAACCTCTAGCCCTTGTACTAGACATAACCATACTATATATATCCCTTCCACTTGGGGCATAGATAGGCTAACACTCCCTTTATGGCACTGTCCATGGAGGGGGGGGCTGCAAAACAAAATAGCTATTTTAGCTGTTATCTGTTACCCCACTCTTTGCTAATAACCACCACCATTTATAAAGCTGGGTTACTATGGGCGAGCCTGAGGTTGGGCATTGGATATAACTTATCCCAGGCAATTCTGAAAGCAATGCTATGAGATATCCATACACCAGTCCATATTACAGATGAGGAAACTGAGGCTCAGAAAAGTTAAGCAAGTTATCCAGGACTACACAGCATTTACAGGACAGAGAAGGATTTAGGTGCAGGTCTGGGGCACTGCTAACTCTGCTTATGACACTCTCTTACATTTCAGGAAATGTGATCTGGCTCACTGTGTATTTGAGCCCCTGCAGAATAAGCCTCAGTGTAATGGAGTTGTAGCAAGCCTTACAGATTTTGTATTTCTGTAACCCAGCCTTTGTGACAGGCTTTTTCTCTCTTATGTTGGATGAAAAACATGCCCTGTCAACCCACTGTGCAGACTGAGCAATTGATGCACAGGAGGCCACTAGGCCAGAGAAAAGTGAGGGATTAGAACTCAGGCCACATAGTGTCAGAGAGCAGTTGGAAGGCCAAGAGGGGAGAATGGGGTCATCAGGGAGACGCCTGTGGTAGGCACGTGTGTCTGCAGTTCAGCTCCTCTGAGGTCCTGGCACCAGGGTCAAACCGTCTCCCATCAGTACCTTCTCATTCCACCTTTCAGGAATACCTTTTGCCCAAGCTCTGCAGCCAAGCATTGCCCTTAGCGTGGACCCAGCTCACATAGCCCTCTTCCCTGGCCTCTCCTGACCATTTCTGCCCCACAGCAATCACGCACTCCTCTGAACTCCTCTGAGATTTCAGTTTCAATAATTCATTTGGCAATTAATCATATCTTGCCTTGTGACATGTCTTCTATTCCATGTTGAGCTGTTATTTAGAAGTGCAATTGTTTAACTTCCCATGAGCAGCATATGCTGCCTGCTAATCTGGTCGGGTTTTTTGTTGTTTCTTTCCTGGCAGTCAATCAAACCAGGGGGAGCAATTTGAGGCCCACGTGGGTGGGGGGTAGGGAGTGGGCAGAGATCCCCCTTCAGGAGGCCATGGAGTGGGGCAGCCAAGAGCCCTCTGACAGTAGCCCCCTAGAGAGCAAGACAACCCATCACACTCCTCAGCCTCCTTTTTTCCTGATTCCCCAGTTATGAAACAGCTCTGGATACAAACAATCTCAGGAATTTTCCATGCATTTGTACAGTCTCCTTGACTGGATTAGATTTCCTGTGGGCAAGGACCATTCATTCTATTTTCAGCGAGGCTGCCTAACATGATGAGGCAAATTCTGAAATGAGGGAAGGAAGCCTGAGATTTGAGCCCCAGCCCTGCCACTTACTACCTGTAAGCCCAGGTAAGTCATTTTACTTTTCTCAGCCTGAGTTTTCTCATTTCCAAAAAGGGGGAAAATACCCATCTCATGAAAGTGTTATGAGAATCACCCTCTGTATGTATTCTAAGCACCTTGCACACATCAACTCCTTTAATATGCATGTTCACTCAGGGTAGATTGTATTATTATTTCCATTTTACATAAAGAGATTAACAAGTGAAGAGCAAAATAGGCGAGAGAGGGTGTGTTCTCTAGGGGGACACAAGAAGGCCTGCCAAGAACAATGGCGAGGGATGAGTTTCACGCCCCTGGGGTGTCTGGGTGTGGATGAAGGGAGATGGGTGGAAGGAGAGGTAGATAGAAGCAGGCACTGGGCAGGCTGTGGCCCCTGAATGTTCCCAGGACTAAAGGCTGAGCTACAGAGGGGAGGGTGGGAGTGAGAGTGAGGACGGTTCCAGGCTTCAGTGAGTTCCAAGATCAATGTATTTGCTTGCAGTGAACTTGACCTGGGAGGAGAGGAGCAACCCCAAGGCAAATGCAGATGTCTCTGAAGAGTGAAAATGAGGAAACATGTCCAGGGGGTTTTATTTATCCCCATCCCTCCTAAAGGTGAGGACTAGAAGTTATTTTACTATAACTCCAGCCTGGGGAGGAATCATAACTCTTTTAGCATAATGACTGTGGGAGCTGCCCTAACAAGAAGGCTTCTTTTCCCTAAAACAGATCCCATTGTTTGTAGATACACTCAGGACACGTAGCCGAGCTGGAGGTCCACTTCCTCATCCCTGGCACTAATCCTCCTCTCAGGATTGGTACTGCCCCTTCTCCCCTCCCAAATGCAGCAACCTGGCCAGAAAAACAGACAGGGACTGATAAGACACACCAGGTGCTGGTCAGGAGCAGATGGGATCTCAGGAGAGGAAGACAAGGGGTTAAAAGGAAGAGGGGAGGGAGAGGGTCTGGGGACACAGCCGAGTGTAGGCTCAAGAATTCTGGACCTGTAGCTGGGTGCAATGGCAACTACCTGTAATTCCAGCTATTTGAGATCGCTTGAGGCCAATAGTCTGAGACCAACCTGGGTGAGACCCGGTCTCAATAACAATAACAAAATAATAATAATAATAATAATAATTCTGGACCAAAAAGGATTTGGAAACAACTGGTTAGCCTAGGAAAGCTGTTTCTGACCCCTGCACCTTTGAGGTTCACTACTATAGCCACTAGCCACAGGCGGCTTTGAGCACCTGAAATGGGACTTTTCCTGAGATGCGCTGTAAGTATGAAATGCACACCAGATTTCAAAAACTTGGTATGAGCCAACGGAATGTAAAATATCTCATTATTAATATTTTATATTGATTACATATTAAAGTTATATGTAGGATAATATTGGGTTAAATAAACATTATTATCAAAATCCCTTTTACTTGTTTTTTGAAACGTTTTTCCTGCTTAAACTAGAAACTAAAATTACAAACATGGGTCTCATTATATTTTTATTGCACAGCACGCTCAGCCCTTTCGGTGCCCAGATGGTTACAGGCTGAGGGGAAAGCATTTTATTGTAGAGTCTACCCCCTCCCCTGCCATTCTGAGTGGGGTCACAGGATTCCCAGGACCCCTGGAGCATGGGCTTGACCCACAGGGAGAGAACAGTGGGAGAGAAACAGGGAATGAGTGAGGGAAATGAAGCCAAAAAGGATGACTCTGGTTCTTGGGTCTATCTGGTTGGTTAATTGCAGAATCCAAAAGCACTATTCTAGAAAGAGATGAGGGAAATGCAGTAGCTCACAGTCAGGTAAAAGTGGGTGAAGCTGAGGCATCTTAAATGAGCATCTGTAGGAAGTGATCAAAAAGCACTGCCATAGAGTCTGGGGGTCCTCAGTGAGGAAGAAGCTTCTCTACTAGAAGGCGGGGTCTGGAGAGAGCCAGGATGCTGAAATCAGAGGGAAAGAAGAGAAGACGGACTCGTATTTTTTCAAGAGCCCCTTTTATTCATTTAAGCCTCAGAAGACCATCATGTTTGGTGCTACTGCCCCCAATTGTGGATGAGGAAAACTGAGGCTTAGACAGCCCAAATAACTTGTCTAAGGTCAAGAGCCACTACCTCCCAGGAGATGAGCTGTTTGCTGGGCTCTGCTACTTGCTAACTGTGTGGCTTTAGAAAACATGCGGAGCTGTGCTGAGCCTGTCTCCACCTCTCAACAGGCTATTGTGAAGACCAGATGAGATGAATCATGGAAAATTCTTCATAAATGGGAACTGTAATGACCTCATGTCAGCTCACAAAAGATGCTCGCCATGCTGACGGACTGTTCCCACATGTAGATCTCTAGCCTGGCCATCTCCAGTTGGATCTTTAACAGGCGTCTTCTTAAACTCAATGCACCCAGAATTCAACTCTTGATATTCCCCTCCAAATCTGCTCCACATTCTAAGTTGCCAAATCCATAGAAATATGTTTGACTTTTTTTTTTTTTGAGACAGAGTTTTGCTCTTGTTACCCAGGCTGGAGTGCAATGGCATGATCTCGGCTCACCGCAACCTCTTCCTCCTGGGTTCAAGCAATTCTCCTGCCTCAGCCTCCCGAGTAGCTGGGACTACAGGCATGCGCCACCATGCCCAGCTATTTTTTTGTATTTTTATTAGAGATGGGGTTTCACCATGTTGACCAGGAAAGTCTAGATCTCTTGACCTGGTGATCCACCTGCCTCGGCCTCCCAAAGTGCTGGGATTACAGGCATGAGCCACAGTGCCTGGCTGTTTGACTCTTTTTTAAAAGTGCACCTCTATATCTAAGCCACCAGCAAATGTTATTGGCTCCTACTTTCAAAATATATCCAGAATCCAAGTGCCACTACCACCATGACCTGAGCCACCACCCACTCTCCCCTGGCCCTCTGGCCAAGCCTCCCAATTCGTCCTCCTGCTCCCACCCTTGCCCCCATACAGTCAGTACTCCACTTGGCAGCCAGAGTAACCTTTTTAAAAATAAGTCTGATCACAAGCCTCCTTAAACAATCCAGCAGCCCCCACTGCACTCAGAGTAACAGCCAAAGTCATTGTGTCAGCCCACAGACCTGCAGAATCTGACCTCTCACCTCCTCCCCTCCCTCCCCTCCTGCCTTCACTCAGATTCAGCCTTGCTGCTTCTCACTATGGCAGCACCTGCATGCCTCAGGACCTTTGCACTTGCTGCTCTTGCTTCCTGGGCTGCTCTGCCCTCAGAAGCCTGCATGGCTTGGCTTGAGCTTTCACCTCCTTCACCACCAACTCCCATCCCAGGACTCCCTAGCCTCTGTCTGCTTTATTTTCCTTCAGAAAACTCGCAACTGCCAATATATTATATAAATTACTTGTTTAACCCCTCTGCAATTCCTCTACTCCCTCATAATATTTAAGAATTTTGTCTTTGTCTCTGATTTTTAGAACAATGTGTAGAATACAGTAGGCTTTTAAAAAATGCTTGGTGAATGAATGAATGAATGTGGAATGATTGACTGGGTCACCTCACCTCTACCTGCACTCCAGACCTGCTAGGGGGTAAAAGAAGACACTGCAGTCCCAGGAAGGGGGTGGGCTACAGTGGAGACTCAGCACTTTGTTGCTTAAACCCAGAGGCCTTTTCCTCTCATTGTTTATCATGAAAACACATCTCTTCCCTTCCAGCACAGTCTGTTCAAAATCAGTAAAATAGAGCCTGTCTCTGGCTCTGTGTAAAAGCCCCACTGCTTTGCCATGTCTCCCTCAAGGCAGGACAGTTCTGTAGCCTTGGTCAAGGCTGGAGATTCAGCAGACCAGGATGTTTTCCTGTTTCAGGTGGAGCAGGGAGCAGAGGTGAGGTGTCTGCCTTCTGGCAGGGGCCGTCGGAGCTGCTTTGTCTACATGGGAGGACTCTGGAGAGGATGGCTTGGGAAAGGCAGCAGAGGTGGCTGCTCACAGTCCTCAGGACCGCTCAGAGAGAGAGGTGCAGGCAGGTGGGACAGGGGGACGATGAGGTATCTCCTTCAGACAGGTTAGGAGGCAATAAATTGGGACTATCTGTGCCATTATTAGACATTCTAAGTAGAGCTAAGCTCCAAGAACAAAGAAAACAGCCCTTCAGAGAGAGTGAGTGAGAAATAGAGAGAGAGAGAGAGAGAAAAGCAAACCACAAACACAACAGCCAGTGATCTCCTCATGCACACAACCCCTCATGTAATCATAAAGACATGTTCCAAACAGGTTCCAGAGCTGTCCATGGGAGGGGTGTTTGAAATATATACCTATCCCTGATACATCCCTGAGATGTTAACTGTCAGATCTCCCAGGAAATGGCTCTGCCTAAACAGACTTTCCTGGACTCGCATTTCATGAATGCTGAAAACAGAATTTTTATGAGACAAAGCCAAACAGAACCCGTGACAATTGTTCTTGAAATCACTTTCCATTCTCTTCCCCCGTATTCTCCCTCCCCCACACCATCATCCCCACGCCAGCCACACCTCCCTCGCTCCCCAGCTCCCCAGAGACCACCCATGGCTCTTCTGGAGGCTCAGCTGTTGTTTTTGTTATGTGGTGGTGCCAGGCATATAAGGAGAGGCAAGTAAATGTGGGGACAGACCCAACCTTGGGGATAGTGGTGAAAGACAGACATTAGAGCCCAAAAAGCTGTGATTGGGAAGGCCTAGTGCCTCCAGGGCTGGTGAGCTTGTCACTCTTCTGTCCTCAGTCTTCTCATCTGCATGATGGAATAATGGCAATCCCTGCCCATGGCTCTGGTGAGGATTTGAGGAGGTAATGGATGTAAAATAGGTAGCATGTCATTAGGTCCTTGAGGCGGGCTTTGAGGACCCTTTTCTTGCTGAATTTGGAGGCAACCTCAGAAGGCTTCCTCACCAGCCTCTTGTACCTGGGCTGCATTGCCCTAGGATCACCGCTATTCTCGTCTTTGAAATGTTTTATTTCTCCCAACTTCTTGACAAAAAAAAAAAAAAAAAAAAAAAAGGTGGGCTTTAATTAGGTAAGAAAGGAGAGAAGGGAATGAAATAAGGGAGTTTGCTGCAGTTGACAGGGAAGAAAGGGACAGAAAACAGACATGTATTAAGAGGTTTCTCTGTGTGAGACACTGAGTGAGATACTTTATGAAATTTCACCCAACTCACCCAAACTCCCTGCAGGAGATGGGTACTCTTAGCCTGTATTATAGAAGGGAAGCCAAGGCTCAGAGTTGAAATACCTTGCCTAGAATTATGGTGCTGGGACTGAATCCAGATGTATCTCCTCTTGGCCCTTCTCTCATATCTGCACAGGAGGGTTGACACATTTGGATTCTAGTCCCTTCTCTTCTGCTGATTTGCTGTGTAACCTCAGGTGAATTGTCTCATGTCTCTGGGCTTTGGTCTTCTCACCTGTGCAATGAGCAGTATGGACCAGAGGACCCCAGTAATAGGGCTTAATCATGAGGCAGATTGTGTTATTCTCAAGACATTTGAAGAAAAATTATACGTCCTGTCCTACTGACAGCAGGCTTGCCTGTGTAACTTGCTTTAGCTAATACAATGTGAACGGAAGTGACATGGACTTGGTTCAAGCAGAAGCTTGAGAGCCATCCGGTTGGCTCTTCCTCCATCAGATGGGGACTTCTCAGTTCTGGGATTAAGAGGATGTGGAACAGGCTTTGCCCACCGGCCATGCACATGAATATGAGCAAGAAATAGCTCTTGGTTATTGTAAGCCACTGAGATTTGGCGTCATTTGTTACCATTGCTGAACTTAGCTTAGGTTGACTGGGACAATGATTTTGTGAGAAAAGGGGAAGGAGGAAAGGGAGGATAATGCCCCAAGGAATGAACCACCTGGGAAGAAAATGGCTCACTGAACTACCTGAATGTCTGAAGTCCTAGCAATCTTCCAAACAGGGTGCCCAAAGAATGCAGGCAGTCTGAGAGCACAGGGGCAGTGGGGGGAACCCAGAGGGTAGTGATGGTGGTGAGGAGCACTAACATCTGAGGACAAGGGAGCACTGTGGCAGGAAGTTTGGGAGACAGCAGATCACGCATGGGAAGAGTACAGAGAGAAATACGGGATATAAGTACTCAGGAAGATTTTGCAAGATGTTTCTTTTGTTTCTACCAGAAAACAGTGTTTGTAGGGTAGGAGAGACTCTTAAAGCTCATTAAGGACAGTCTTCTTCATTGACGGGTGAGAGAATTGAGGATCTGAGAAGGTAGACACCTGATTGAACTGAAGGTCGCACTGCAAGTTAGTGCCAGGGTTGGGACTCGGGCCCAGGCTTAAGGAAGGCAAATATTGCACCTTTCTGTTTCTCTTTAGTGGGAAGAGTAAAACCTTTTTTGGAAGAATGAGCAGGTTGTTTGGTTTGAAGGACATCAAGCAAGGTGGGCACTGGGGCCTTCTGGGAAAAAAAGCAGGCGAAGTTCCTCAAGTCATGAGAAAACAGGTGAGGGAGACAGGCACCCGGTAATGGTGGGCAGGTGAGCCTGAGGGTTTAGCCAGAGACGTGGGCTTCCTGGTAAGGGAAAGGAGGCAACCAATACACAGCAATTCAGCTTCTTCTGTTGAGGCCTCACGTGCACAGGCTTCGTGTTTCCCACTGGCTATAATTTATCTCATACCAGTCCTGGGAAAGGAGGCTACCAATACACAGCAATTCAGCTTCTTCTGTTGAGGCCTCACGTGCACAGGCTTCGTGTTTCCCACTGGCTATAATTTATCTCATACCAGTCCTGGGAAAGGAGGCTACCAATACACAGCAATTCAACTTCTTCTGTTGAGGCCTCACGTGCACAGGCTTCGTGTTTCCCACTGGCTATAATTTATCTCATACCAGTCCTGGGAAAGGAGGCTACCAATACACAGTCCTATGACGCAGCTTTCTAAGTCCCATTTAACATATGAGTCAATAGAGGATCAGGAAAGTTAAACAATTTGCCAAGATATCACAGTTTATCAGCGACGGAGGTGGGATTTGAACCACGTCAGTGTGACTCCAAAGTTCCTGCTAAGGGAAGGAGGCGGAGAGCAGGTGGAAGCAGAGGAAATAGTTGCTTAGGGCCAGGCCTCCTAGGCCCCTGTCGCCCTGACTCAGTGTGGTTGCCAGAGCTTTCTGCCAGCAGTTTTCCAAGCAAGGGCCCCTGGAGCTCACAAGCCCATGGCCAGGCCTGCTTGGGGACCCTTTGTCACATTAGCTTGTGTTGCCAACTCTCCCCAGTGGTGTCCTCCCTGCTTGTACCAGCTAAGGAATGAGTCAAGGTTGCCAGTATGTTCTTGGCTGCCTGGATTTCTGTATCTCCTGGGCCATCTTCTCGTGATGAACCCCAGCCTGCAGATCACTGGTCCAGGAGTTCTAGAGAGAGGGCCTGGACAGAGGGAGGGCTCCACAGGACCTGGCGGTGGCCCAAATACACGTTTGTGGCTGGGCATTTCCTCCCAACTAATAAACAAACAATCATTATTTTTCTGTGGCCAAATGGAAGCTGGCCTCAGAGCTCTCAGCACAAGAGCAATAATAGGGGCTTATCGACAGACAGGGAGGGCTTAATAGGCCACAGACCGATGAGGATCGAGATGGATGAAGGCTGCGCTATCGATCGCCAGAACCCCTCCAGCCCTCCCAGAGGGGCCCCCCGCCCCCGTTCTGTCTCATGGGCACGCAATTAGCTGGACTGTGGGGAGGGCTGTGCCCATCCACCCAAATTCCAAGGGGACAGAGCATATTTGTAATTGGAAGAAACATAATAGACTATGAAAAGTACGTGACTTTAGCTACAAAACTTGGTACAAAAGTTGTGGTTCTATTTTCCTTCTATACCAGTATAAAAATAGCAGATTTTTCATCAAGGTAGAAAGCAAGACTACCACAAAAGTAGTTCCCTCATTCTTTTTTTTTTTTGAGATGGAGTTTCGCTCTTGTTACCCAGGCTGGAGTGCAATGGCACGATCTCGGCTCACCACAGCCTCCGCCTCCTGGGTTCAGGCATTTCTCCTGCCTCAGCCTCCCGAGTAGCTGGGCTTACAGGCACGCGCCACCATGCCCAGCTAATTTTCTTTTGTATTTTTAGTAGAGACGGGGTTTCACCATGTTGACCAGGATGGTCTCGATCTGTTGACCTCGTGATCCACCCGCCTTGGCCTCCCAAAGTGCTGGGATTACAGGCTTGAGCCACCATGCCCAGCCATTCCCTCATTCTTATCCCTTTATAGGCAGAGTCAAATAGTGGCAAGGAAACTCCCTTTGGTCAGGTTGAGCTCAGGGTCCCCGAAGCCCCTATTACCAGAAGCTGGGGCAAAAGAAGGCAGGTAACCACTGACTGGCCATGTCTACAGTGCGTGGACAGAGAACGGAATGACAGTGCACCAGGAACCGAGGAGGCCAGCCCAGCCCTGTGGCTCTGGGACCACCAGATCCCTGAGGGTCACAACACACTTAAAGTTGTGGGCAACATATTATATGAGTGGCCCATAGCATTGATGAGATTGGCAGAGGGGTGAGCACACACAAAGTACCTGGATCTTGTGCACCAGCCTCCCCTTTTCTGGTGTAGAGTGGGGGCTCCTGTTGGTACTTGTCAGCACACCTGTGAGAAGAGGCCCCTGCATCTCACTTGCCCTCACCTTCCTTTGGCCTCCAGTGCCAGTGAGCAGCCCTGTGTCCCGTTTCTTGAATGCAGGAGCACATTTTGCTGAACTGATGAGCCTGTGGAATCTGCTGGGCCCTGACCTCCAGACCCTCCTGGGGAGACGACCCCAGCCCCACCCATTCGCAATCCCCAGCACACGTAAAGGGACTGGCCTTGCAAGAGCAGCTCCTCCCTGCCAGTGTGACCTCATTTACAGTGCATCGGGATGCCACACGAGTGGCCCAGGTCTCATTCTCACTGTGGACAGGATGGGCAGGGTGGCCTGTAGGCAGTGTTCCTGCCTAAGGAACTGCCTAGTGGCTTTGATGATGCTGAGGATTAATTGGTCTTCACTCAAGCCTCCTTGAGGGAGTCACATACCGGGTTGAAGTAGGACTTTCTGAAGTCTTCAGAGGCTGGATGATTGGGTGATGGGGACACCTGGAAATGGTCCCAGGGTGAAGTAAAGAAGCTGGAATTAGCCTGAAGAGGGGGAGGTGGCAGGGTGCTGAATAGATGAGGGTTTTCTAGAGTATGAGTGGCTGCCACTGGCCAGATGTGTCTTCTGCCACGAAAGCTTTGAGTTTGACAATAAAGTTTGGAAGCCAGGAATTCCTGAGGGAGATGTTTGCTTCTAGGCGGGGTCAATGAGGTGACTTGCAGTCACCGTTTGGGGGCCACCTTTACCCAGGCGAGAGCAGCACTGCACTAGAACTGTGTGTGTGCAGGCCTCGTGGCCTGGGGCATGGACAGGGTGACCTCTTAAGTCTTCTGTCAGTCTACAGGTGAGCTTTCCTGCTGGGCTCAGGGGTCAGGTGGCAGCTGCAGATGTGGTCCCTGGTAACAGATATGAGGGTTGCCACATAGTATGAGGTCACTATGTGGCAGCTGCAGGAACCGAGAAAGCCAGAAGGACAAACCCTGGCCTTTTCATGGGGAGAATAGGAGGAATGAGTTGAAAGCATGAAGCTAGACACATGTTACACATCTTCAGCTGAACTGAGGATCCAGGGACAGGAGAAGTAGGGAGTCAGGTACCGCCAGGATTGGAGCTGACTGTGGAAGAGGCTAGTTTTGCTGAAGGCCTCCTGGGGATAACAGACAAAGTAGAGGAACAAGCCAGCCTTAGGAACTGGGAGGCCTGAGCTCTCACCCAGCCCAGCCACTTCATAGTTCAGTGGCTTTGGGCATGCTTCTTCTTCTTCCAGAGCCTCAGTTTCTTAGCTACAAAGTGGGGGGAACTACTATGTCATTGAGGGGAACGTAAAGCCTATAGCACCCTGTCTGTTATTCAGGAAGCACTCAATAAAGGACAAGACTCCAAGGTCAAGGCACCCCTCTTCCATCATGGTCTTCTCAGGCCTCAAACATACCACTTCCCAGTGTACTGGGTCAGCGCCTGCATCCAGTTATCCTTGGTGCAGAAGCAGATTGGCTGGGCCATCACACACCCATAGGGGAGCAGTGAGGCCAGGAAGGTAGAGGGGAAAGGTGGTCTGGTGCCAACTCAAGTTGGGTAGTTGTGGGAAAGGAGATCTGACTCACAGCATCTGAGTTGGTGGAATAAGGCGATGCTGTAACAGGGACCTGAGTCTGGCCTTATGCTGGGATATTTTTTTTCCTGTTGATGGAAATGTTTATTAGATTTAGATCTATCCATCTGTACTCTGTTGGCTAATCCTGATTTTGTTATCAGCACCCACAATGCTACCATCTAACATGTGTCTCTTCTCCCTCAGGCCCGGGTGGTGTGGGACCCCCTCCGGAGAGGTGTATGCACCTCCCTAGAGCTTACCCAGCCGGGTGCCTGTTCCTTGATGAGAATCCACATGGTGTTGACCTCAGGCTTCTTCATGGTTCACTCTGTGGCTGGTGGCATTGGATCTGCATCAAGGTGGTCTCGAGGATGGTCTTCTGAAGGAACTTAGGTGTCTTGGGTCCTGGAAGATGGGTGACACACGGATCTATTTTTTTCCTATGGTTATAGACCCTTTCAGCACAACCTTTGTGGCCTTCAGAGCTTTTGTCTTGGTTTCAGTTTTGGGAAGGGCTGGGGCTTCCTTCTTGCTTTCAGCACCATATTTGCAGAAGGGAGTGTCTATCTGACGGCCTGGTGTAGCAGTGCCATCAGGAGCTGGTCTTCAGTGGAGAAAATGTACTGCCAAGGCTGAAGAGACTTCCATGGAAACAGGAGCAGAAGGGAGAAGGCTTCACGATACTGTTTCAGACCCTGTTTCCCTGGCCCAGCCCACACCTAAGGCGATGGAAAGGAGTCTGCAGCAGAAACAGAAGTTGCTGTTTTCCAGGAAGCTCCGTGAGGAGGAGGCAAAAGCATCCTCAAAGGCATCACTTCATAGCAGTGGCCAGCAAGGCCTCGTGCTCCACTGGCTTCGGTTGGTTGACAATGGAGGGTGGTGTGGGACAGCATGAGAAGGCACTGCACAAGCTCCTGTGAGACTTCGCAGGGGCCTCCAGAATAAACTGACGAAAGACTTTGTGAAAAAAAAGGGTCTGGGGAGGCTGCAAGTGCAGGCGGAGCCCCAGCCAGTGAATCCCAGATGACTGCAGGGAATGCGGCTACACTGGTGCCACCAGCTTGTGAGTGCTGGGGATCTCCAAGGGGCGTGTCACATTAGGGTCCTCTCTCTGTTTCATATCTAAAGACCAAATGAGGCCCAATGGCCACTCCAGGGGAGATGCCAATTCATGACTTTCTTTGTAGTCTACACTAGAGAAGTTCATTAACTGGTCACTTCTATTTTTAGACTGTGCTTCAATCCCTGCCATTAATTGTCATGAATGAGTTATAAAGGTGGTTGAACTTGACAATTCTGATGGTTTATCCCAGAAAACCAAGCCACAGGCAACACTTAGATTTGTAGACTCTTCTGAGTTAGACCAGCAGGTCTCCTTGCCCTGACCCAGAGTCCTTCTTATGGCTCTTTGCCTGGAAGTGTCAGCAGTAGAATCCTTGCCTGCTCCAAATTGCACCAGTGGTATGCTCCATCCAGAGTGCTTTTCTGGCTAGACATCCCCTGCCAACCTCTTACCAAAACCTGAGGTCTAATACATGATTCAAGAAACAGACAAAGGGGCCTGGAGGCTGGTCAAGGCTCAGTCATCCTTCCAGATGCCCAGTGCCTGCCTAGACTCTTGCCCTAATTCCTGGAATCCACCTGGAATCTTTGGCAGGTGATCTGCTCCAATGTGGATCAGGTTTCTCTGATAGGGAATGACAGACTGCTGGTGGCTTCAGGAACAACCACTCACATCAGGCATCAACAAAAGCACACACTGAACATTTAAGCTTTGGGGACCAAATTACAAATAAAAGAATAATTAGCACACTTCTAATTGCTCTTTCCTGCTGTGAACAACAGGCAGAGACATAAAGTGCCTCTACCGTACACGTAAGCCTCACTCTGAAGCAGGAGAGGGGAGGCTTCTCCCTCCAGGAGCCAGCAGAGCACCCCATGTTTATAAATCAAGTCAGGAAAAAAGGAAAGAGCTGTGACCAAATCTAACCGACTTAACATTTCCAGCATGTCTCTCTTTGTGGTTATTGTCTTATCGAAGATTTATATCTGTCTCACAAGTATCTTTAAATCCTCGTGAGGCCTAAACCCAGGAATTGACATTCTTTAATGTAAATAGAAAATATTACAGAATGAGTTGAGGTTGGTGTTTTTAAAAAATTGCTTTCTCGACTTTTAACCCTGCAGTCTTGCTGACTATTTAATTCTACTTGCACTTGCTCAGGAATAAGCCTGTGATTTCTTCACTATGATACAGATTTAAACACAAACCACTCACCACTCCAAATAGCGGCTCAGGTCAGGTCCGCTGATGACAGGTCACAAAGCAGACCCCAAAGTTACTAGGCGGGTAAAAGATGGGTCAGTGACAGTCACACGGATGTAGAGAGTCCCCAGTGAATCTGCAAATGAAACCTATTCACAACTCTAGTTTCCGGATCTTTCCCAGGGAAGGAGTTAGTAATGGGTATTGGGTCTCCGGGCCAGTCCCTCAGAACATATTAAACCCACAGTGTCTTCAGGCTAGTTCTGCTGTGGCTCTATATATGGAACAGTGATACTGTACCTGCCCTTTTAGAAGCAGCCTGAGGGTCTGGCTGAGGTCACAGAGCTCTACCCATGAGGACAGCTCTAGTAGTTTTACCTGGAGAACAAGGCCCATCCCACACCCTGGCTTTTACACCTGCGGTGTGGCGCTGGACTCCAGCAGGTGGAGACCGAGTGTTGGGTTGGTGTGTGGCAGAGGTGTGGGGCTGGAGGGAGGAGGAGGATGAGGGGACAGGGGACTGTGGAGATGGGATGGAGACGGGAAGTGAGGACCATTTACCTTCTTATTCTCTTTAGTTTTTCCCTCCTTATCCCACACTTCCTTGTCCCTTCTCCCTCCCTTTCTCTCTGGCCTCCTCCCCGTCCTACAGTTGCTGACCCACCTTCTGGGAGGCTGGGGGATGGAAAGGCATTAGGGCAGGAGGGGTCTGAAGGGAGTGAGGAGGACCTCCAGAATGGCGGTGGCCCTCCACCGCCAGCTCACAGGGAACCATCCAGAATGTGCAGACTGTGAGGCCCAGGCCTGGAGTGGTGGCTGCTAGAAACTCATAGCAAACCTTTTAGGCTGATGAGACAGATAAAGAGTGTGTGTATGTATGTGTGTGTGTGTGTACAGGCATAATCAGTTCCATCACAGACAAACTCACCCAAGGTTACCTTAAATATGGAGCTCTCCCGGCACATTAAAAACATCGCTCACACAGTAGATGTTCAATTTGCACACCTATTTGCAAAGAGGCTGCACAAAGTGAGAAACACCAACAGACAAGATAACTGAAGAAATAACATCTGTTTCTTCGCTTTTCTGGGAATTCCCTCCCCATCACCCCTTTTCTCTTCAGGCTCCATTTTTCTAAATAGTAAGGGATTCAGGTTTCTATGCCTCACTGGAATATTGCCTGTAGACTCTGAGCTCCCTGAGGGCGGGGCTGCGTCTGCCTTTACACTGTCCATCCAGTGTCCAGGACATTGCCCAGCCTCGAGTGGGAGCTCAGAAAGTTGTTAATGAAGACTGAAATCATTTCCCTTTCATCTCACCTTGTCTTCTTCCTTCCCTGCCCCTGACCCCAGTCCCGCAGTCCCCCAGTCCTCCAGTTCCCCAGTCCCCCAGTCCCCCAATTCCCCAATTCCCCAGTCTCTCAGTCCCCCAGCCCCCCAGTATCCCAGTTCCCCAGGCCCCTGTCCCCCTTTCATCCTGCAAGCTTCCAGATCATGATTTTATCATCTGTCTTTTGTCTTCTTGGTTCATACACTCAGGCTCCACAATACAACTGTGAAGTGAGGTGGCCTTTGGGGATACAAAGAGGAAGGAGGACAGAGAGAGGTGGGGCTCTCCTGTTTCTTCTCAGTGTCCAGGGTGCTTTGGGCTCCAGGTGGGCCTCAGGAGCCGGTATCTGGAAGCTTAGAGGGCTACTGAGAGGAGGGACTATTTCTGGATCAGAGGAGAGAGAGCTGCTAAGGCTGGTTGGGAGGGTATTTATAGAGCCAACCTTGGAGAGCAGGGATGCTCATATCCCTGGAACCTGCCCCCACGTAGAAGTTTCTAAAGATAGATCAGCGTGGCATCTGGTATGAGACAAGGTATACTAATTCCTTTTAAATTCACCAAGAACTTTCTTCTAATAAATGCCAGCCTATTTTCTCAGTGCTACTTCTTCCCTCTCCCCTCAGTATCCACCCTGTCCTGTCAGAATCTTGGTTACTGGTAGGTAATAGCTCACTTCCAGGGGCACTGAGGGAGCAAGCCAGGGAGCGACTTGTTTAGGGTGACCCAGCGTCTCTGTGATGGCCCCCAACCAAGGCTAGAATCAGCAGCAGGTGGAAGAAAGGGGAGGGCAACTCATGTTTTTGAAAGCCTGTCATATGCCAGCACTGTGCTAGGTGACTTATGCACCATGTCATTGAATCCGTGCACCACTTCTGTGAAGCTGGTGTTATAATGTCCGTTTTACAGATAAAGAAAGGAACACTCAGTGGTTTGTCTAAGACTGCTCTAAAATGATGGAGATAAGATGCTACTCACCCAACTCAGCCTAAGGGACTGGGAGAAAGGGAGGAGAATGGTGGTATTTATTCCCAAATTTCAGATATGCATTTAGAATCATTATCCAAAAAGCTAATGGGTGCTAAGATATTTGGTGCCTGCTGTTACTGCTTTTCTCGCTCCCCTTTTGCCATGAAATGAGAATAATTTCTACAAATCAGGCAGAGCTTCTGGGGTGTGGGGACAGATGCATTTCTTACACCAAATGCAGCCCTTTCTTAGCCATCCTATGAAATGCTCCTCCTACTACCTATCCATCGCCTTGGCTGAATGAGGAATTAAATGAATGGGAGGGTACTTGTTGAGCACCTATCATGTGTTGGCCACCATCTCCATGTCATGGGATAGATGCATTGTTCTATCTCATCGTACCACCAAGGCAACTCCATGAGATCAGTGTTTTCTCTTCTGTCCGCAGACGAAACTTGGGCTTGGAGAATTAAGTAAGTTGCTCAGTGCCCCACCGAAAGTAAGATCAAGCTGAGATCACACCCCCTGGAACGTGTGTGCCGATAGCACCTGTTGACTTCTGGCTCTGGCTGCAGCTGGACGCAGTGATCAAATCCAGTGGAAGCCTGTTTGGTCTGGTGTTTTCACTGCTTGTCCATTGACTGTTCTACATCCAACACATCACCTGTGCAGTAGGTAATAGGATTTGATGGTTAAGGTGACTTCAGCTCTGTCAAGCCACAGGCCATTCGCCCCATCCCAGAGCACATGCTGCACATCATGGTCCTCAGTGTTGGAACGTGAATGGGGTGGCCAGGGCTGCTGGAGGCCTGCTCCTCTCCAAGCCTGCAGAGCTCCTCTTGAGGCCTTGGCAACTCTACCTCCAGGCCCTGATGGGCAGATCTTGGCACTTTTCCTGGGAAGGTAGGAGCAAGAGATCAGGGTGGTAAAACCAGCTCATGAGAAAGGGAACATAGTCTGCAGTGTCCCAGCTGAGAACCTTCTAACCTGTCCTTTCTGATAAATTTAGCTCTATTCATCAGTAAAGACCTGAGTCCTCTTTCTTCTGGAAAACTAATTTCTTTCTTTCTCAACCTACCAGTACACTTGTGTGCTCTACACACTACAATGGAACTACAATGACCTTTAGAGCACACAGTCCAACCTCCTGGCTAATTCTGGAATTCCTTCTCCATCTTCCCCACCATATTCATCCTCTGCTTGGTTCCCTAACCTTCAAAGAAGCCCATTCCTTGATGAGATAGCTCTAAGCATTTGAAAAGCTTTCCTCTTTTTGAGCAAAAATATGCATCTGGACTTTGTTCATGAGAAGTCTTCAGATCTTTAAAGAGAACCATGAGGGCTCCTTGGGGTCTCCCCCTCTCCAAACAAAACCAGAGGAACCTCAAGTAACATGGTCCCTAGACCTTTCACCGTCCCTAGAATGGCTTCTTCATGTCCCTGTAAGTGGTTCCCAGACCTTAATATAAACCACAGTTGACTGGGGCGCTTGGTAAAAATACTGATTTCAGGGGCCTCATCCTGGAGGGAGGTGGGGAACGTGTGTGCTTTTTCAGCAAGTGGAGAAAGCAAACTCCAAACACTGTGTTTCTTAGATGCTGTGCCTTCAGAAGACAGTACCAAATGGGGCTGTTTGCAGTTGTATTAGGGAATGTATGTTCAAAAGGTTTAAACAACATCATTTTAGCAGTAAGTCATAGAACACTAGGATGGTCTCCATTATCCTTGAAAAAATGACCAAGGCTCATTAAATTCAAATTTAAGCTAGAAAACATACAAATTAACCAACCATGGTTTTAAAACACTTCTCTTGCTAACATGTTACATCTGCTAGGCTGGAGGCTTGGTATTACCAGATGAGGCATGTGCAGAATCACAGCGATCTGCCCCACAGCTCAGGCTGAGATCTAAATGAAGACCCCTGCAAAGCTACCCAAAGGTCAGGTAGCATGGCAGGAGACATCCTGGCCTTCTGGGGAGAAGCAGGTGGCAGGGGGATTTGGGAGCCCCACCTGGGGCTGCCTGCATTTATGTACGGTGTCACAATTAACCCTCAGAGCAGCACTGAGAGAGTTATTATTCCCATTCTATAAGGGAGGAAACTGGGGCTCAGTAAGATTAAGACACTTGATTACAGAAGGTCTTGCAGTAAACGTTCCAAACACATGCTCCTTTCCTTCCACCACAATGCATTGTTATTCATTCTCTTTTTGTTTTAGGTATGAAAATCCTAGGTCTCCAGGAAATTGTGTGATAATGAGGCTTAGACCATGCGTCTGACCCCTCCCACCTCACCCTGTGGGGTACCCACAGGCAGGGTGGGCCATCCAGTGGCACTCAGGAAAGTGTGCTGAAGTGAATTGCATTAGTTCCTAGCACTGTGTGATTCACCAGGGTGTGTGGAAAGAGAAAGTGAGGATGATGCTTTATGACTCCTCTTGCTGTTTCTGGCTACAAATACCTGCCCCCTGCCCAGCTGCCCCTGCCTATTCCTCCCGGCTGTTCAGGGAAGGGTCTCTAAAGAAAGGTACTAGATATTGTACCAGCATTATTATAATTGTTATTAAAAGCCACTGGTTTTACTGGGGCCCTATTTTTACTCAGAAAGAGTCTCTCAACCTAGCCCTGGCTTTCGACCTTCAACTCCTTCATATCCCAGTGCCCTTTGCTTGTGGAAATGAGTCAGATGGTTGAGCTTTTGCACAGGATTATGATCAAACTTTATGTTAGGAAGCAGGTTTAGCAGTCAGCTCTATTTTACTTTGTGTGGAGTTTCTTATCTTGTCTGTGTCCTCAAGTGTCACCACTGTGACCACTCTAGTCGTGCGTTTGCTATGATGTGGAGAAGAAAACGGATGATAGGAGAGAGTCCAGTGGTTTTGCATCTGCCTCAGCAGAGCTAGGGCTAGAACCTGCCATACAACTGTCACCATGGTCCCAGTGGAGCAACACAGGGCTCAGTAGGGGTGAGCCCAACTTCAGGAAGTTAAGTCTTGCAATTGAAGGAGGATGGGCAGGGGTCAGGGGCTCTGAAAACCTAACAGTCTAGAGCAGTGACTCCCAGACCTTAGCATAAATCACAGTCGACTGGGGTGCTTGGTAAAAGTACTGATTTTAGGGGCCTCATCATAGAAATCCTGCCAATGACAAGAACATATGCTGTGTGCTGCTTGCTACACCAAGGATGATGCTAAGAGCACCACAAGTACCAACTCACTTGGTCTTCACAACCACCCCCATTGTTACTCAGCAAGCACTCCTCTTTCCATCATTCATGTGAAGATACTTGAGGATACGGAGAGATACGGCATGTGAGGAGGCAGAGCCAGGACCCGAAAAGTCCCTGTTCTTCCCTCTCTTCCTGGGCTGGAGGTTTGCGAAGGGCCTGGGAAGCTGCATCTTCTAAGCTAGTACAGGCAGTCTGGAGAGTCTGGAGAGTCTGTGTGCTGAGGCTGGGGATGCTCATCACAGCCCACTTGTCCTGACATACCAGAGAGGTGTCCGTTTAGTGATTTAATCTCCTCTGTACAATGCCCCAGGGGCCCCAGTCTCCTTGGGATCCTAATCTTCTCAGTGACACAGTAGAGGCTGTAGAGAAAAGCAAATTCACAAGGGTCACGCTGGGTTAGTCTGACGGGCATCGCTCACACTCGGCACTGTGGGAAGACCACCATCGTCTTTGTCTGCATTGGCAAACTTCGGGTAAGCCACGGAGTGCTGAATTCTACTGGACACTGAGGACACAGAAAGGATGAGACTGCGTCTTTGCATTTATGTGGGGGCATCAGGGGATGCTCAGTAATGAAACCCACTCAAGTGTTTTGTCTCAGGCAGCAGAAACTCTCGGCCTGGCCTGTGAAGTCTATTCTTTGTCTTTTAACCTCTGTGGTCTCAGCCTCCGACTCCTTGATTCATGCCTTGTATGTTAGTCCGGGTTTTCTCAAATGTTAGTCTTTTGGATATCATCTTAAAGAGACTTTCTATGATATGAGTACCACCTGCACAATTATTAACTGAATATGTTTAAAACTGACTTATGCTTTTTGACTTAAAATTAATTATTTTAAAAGGAAATTTTTGTGTTATATATTTTTTTCTAGTGAACAGAACAATGGTTCTCAAGCATAGAATCCAGCCAGGGGTGAAATCTTATGACTCAAATGTCCCTATAACCCCACTGGAACAAAGGGAACAAAGGGAGGGTTCGCCAGAGTGGGATCCCAATGGAGGGAAATTGGAATTGAAGGAGAGGAGGGGCATCCTGGTACCAGCCAGATTCATCTCAAGTCCGTGTTCCATGCTTTCGGGAACGCTGCCCGGGCCATGCACCCCAGCCTGTGCTTTCTGAAACAAGCTATGCCATTCTGCTCCTCTGAGTGTTCACTCACCCTGTTTGCTCCTCCTGGAGGTCCTTACCCGTGCAAGAGACTGGGAGAAAAGAGCATCATTGTCCATGGTACCACCCCTTCCCAACAGCACTTCTCTCCACCTGCCTTTCTCCTGCTCATGTGCAACTTCTCATTCTGCCTAAAGAATATCCACTCTTCTTTGAGGTTTTGCTCCATTGTGGACTCCTGGTGATACCATTCTGGTCACTCCCAGGCAGAGTTGCTCTGCCTGCCCCACTCCCACAGCACTTTGTGCATCTCTCCATGCTCTATTATGAAGCAGGGACCGGACAGAGGTGCTTGTGGGCATCTCTGTATTTCTGGTACCTAGCAGAGCTGATTTTTTTAATGACGATCATGTGACAGAGTTTGTGCTAAGAGCTTTATGTATATTACCTCATGCAGTCCTGCAGCAACATGTGTCCCCATTTTACAGGTAAGGAAATTGAAGCTCAGAGAGTTTAAAGTTGCCTGACATCATACAGAAAGTACAGAGTGGAGATTCACACCCAGGTCTGTCGGATTTCAGGGCCTCTGTACGTCTTAACACTACACCATTCAGCCATGGTCATTGGAGGACAACATGTGTTTGGAGTATAAATAAATGGTACAAATGAATGAATGAGTGAGTGAAAGAACACAGAATGGTGTTTGCTGGGGCTGTACACATCCAGCCTGAGCTGGCCCGGATTCATTCGGTGGGAGGTGATTGTAAAACGTGTTGAGAATGAACAATAACATGCTCTGGTTTTGGAACACCAAGAACAAAGCCCAGAATTTGTGGGCCAGTGGAAGTGAGAAAGGAACCAACATTGAAGGCGGCATTTTGCTTCTTGTGTCTCGGCTGCCTCCAAAGGATTAACTTCTTGAGAGCAGGGCCTGCTTTGCGTCCTCAGTTTATAATCCTGCTCCTGGCAAAAAGTGGGTGTTCAGTGGATGCCCACGCAACTCAGCCATTAAATCTGAGCCTATTCCTTTTATTCATTGGTTCATGGTAGGCCTGGTTCGGTGCTTCGTTTCACTCTCTGCTTCTTTACAGGGCTTCATGCTGCCAGCACTCCATGGAGAAACATGGGCCCCGGCACAGTGGACCCTATGATTTGCAAATATAGGAGCCAGCCAGGGGCAAAATCCTGCCACTCAAATGTCCCTGTAACCCCAGTGGAATGAAGGGAACAAAGGGAGGGGTCACCATAGTGGGATCCCAATGGAAGGAAATTGGAATTGAAGGAGAGAAGGAGGGGCATCCTGGTACTAGCCAGATTCATCTCAAGTCCACGTTCCATGCTTTCTCCATTCTGGGCCTTGGTTCCCTCTACTATATAAACTCTAACTCAATAGACTGGATTCTTGGAAGTCCTTCCTGATGTGACATTTGCCAGCCTAGGATCCAGCCAGAAGTGAGGCTTGCAGACCCGGCTCCCTGAGACACAATGGCAGGTCTTCCTGAATGGGGCTGGGGCCATTAAAAACACTGTCCTCATGCCCCCTGCATCCAGCAGGTTACTCCTGGCACAGCTGGGAGAGTGAGCTGCTTCTTCTGCTCAGAAAGCAGGACTTGGAAATTATTCAGGAATAATAAACAGGCCAGAAACATTTGCATATGGAATCACGCAGAACAATACATGTTATTTAAACCATCTCTGGTTGGCAACAGAAGCAAAAAGCAGCTGAGATAAATCTGCAATGCAAATCAGCCTTATTTGGAGCGGAGCCTCAGCTTGTTTTGGGGGTGGGGGCGCTGCAAGAGGCGGGGAGAAGAAAAGGCATCATTGTTTCTATGTACCCCCCTTTCCAACAACACTTTTCTCTGCCTGCCTTTCTCCTGCTCACGTACATTTTCTCATTTCTCTCCTTCCCTCCCTTCTTTAGAGATTAATGGAAACAATTTGTCTTCTAATGTGACTGCAGCTTATGAATTCTTTGTCTCACTCTAATCCTTTAAATTATCCACATAATAAAATATGTATCCAGTGATTTCAGGTCATAATTTGATCTTCTAGGGAGAGTGGGGAGGGGGAGGTGAGCTGAATCGAGCCCTTCTCACAATTTGTTTCTCTCCATTTGTCTTTATTTGTCATCGTTTCTGCTTAATGATCTTCCCCTTCCTCCTCTGGCTCTTGTGCTCACCACACTTCCTTAGTGTGCCTGGGGCCTTGGGGTACGGGAAGGGCGCCTTGCAGAACCTGGGAGGTGAGAGGCAGCTCCCACCCCAGGAATGGGGCCCTCTCCTGCTCCCCTTTCTGACCTGCTCCACGAGGGATGGTAGCTTCCTTCCTGATTGATTCCACCTCTGCATGGGCAACCAATTCTGGAGCACTAGGCTGAAGGCTACTCCAACTGCTTAAGCTCTAAAGGGCCTTTAAATCCCCTGGGCTCCTTCTGTAGGTATTAAGGGGGTGATAATTCAATATTCACTAATCTGGATGTCACCCATCATCTGCAAGACACCCCACCAATATCCAAGATCCCCAGTGCGGACTGCCCTCAAAGCCAGTTAGGGGTTGACTTTCCTACTGCCTTTCTGGAGAGAGGTGCTCCAGGAACTGCCAACCCTGGTGGCCGTGCATGAAGTCCTCCCTGAAGTCCATATGGAGGATGGACAAGGCACCCCTCAGGGCCACAGTGTACAATATGCATTTGTGACTCACAAGGTGCTGAGCCAAGGCAGGAGACAGAAGGGCTGAAGCATGTACTGAACCATGGGCCTTCTGGCCTCACCTGCCTGGGGGGAAGCCTTGTTACAGTTTGCACAGTAGCATTTTATAATTTGCACAAAAGCTTGCCTTTGCCCTCGTCACTATTCTGATTGCAGGTTGTGTCCTGGGCCCGGAAATTGCCTTGCCAATGTTCCCGTGACCCAGGACATCCTGGTGAAAACTGCTCCTTCAGTATCCACTCTCGGGCCTCGTGCAGCGGGTGTAGGACACACACTTGCCCACCAAACAGGCAGTGATCAGGATGAACACCTGAGACAGAGAGCAGCTCTGCCCCGCCCTTCCCACAATGCAAAGCACTTTTCTCGGTCTCTAGCAACTCCTCTATCTGAACCAACAGCCTGTACTTCACCTCACCGTAAACAGAAACTCTCATGTCACAGAGGTAGGATACTGTCCAGCTTTGTATCCGGAGAAATCTGTAAAATGAAAGGCCCCATTGATGGGTCCGGGAGACCCAGGTGCACCTGGTGCATGGGAGAAGCTGCTGAGGGCAGTGCGAGGAGCTTGGTGTTCTTCAGGGTGGTCTAAAAGGTCTTGGAGCAGAGGGTGACAGGAATGGAAGAGTGGGCTGCAGGGGCCCAGTGGGTGACCGCAGGCATGTCTGTGGACTGGAGGTGACAACTAGGAAGTGAATGGGTAATAGCCCAGGTATAAGAGAAGGCCAGGACTGAGTCCAGCCCTGACTGTTTTATCCGCAGGTTTGAAATACAAAACCAGAAAGTGGAGTCTTTGTGTAACTCATTGAAAGGCAAAGCCTGCCCTGAACTGAGGCTATTTATAGTCTGTTATTTATCCCGCTTGGTGTGAATATTCATGCTTCTCTCTGCAGAGGTATTAAGGTACCTGATTGCAAGGAGTTGCCCAGCAAGGGCTGGGATGGGAGGAATGGGGAGTTATGGCTTAATGGATACAGAGTTTTTGTTTAGGGTGGTGAAAAGTTTTGGCATAGATAGTGGTGATGGTTATACAGCATTGTGAATGTGATTAATGCCACTGAATTGTGTACTTCAAAAGGTTAAAATGACAAATTTTATGTTGTATATATTTTAACACAATTTTTAAAAATGAGACTGTAATATACCAAAACCCATTGAATTATATGCTTTCAGTGGATGAATTATATTGCAATACACTGTTACAAAAAAGAAAAGGAAGAGAGAAGAGAAAGGGTCTGGTGAGGAGGGTTAGAGAACCCTCCCATGAGCACCTGTCTTCCTTCACACCTGAGACCACTGCTGTTTCAGCTTTTACGCGTTTACGGCCTTGAGAGTGGCCCTACACTTTGTCCTCAGGCAACCGACGTGAGGTGGGCATTGAGAAATCGTTATTTGCGCTTTCAGATGAGAAACTAAGGCCCTGAAAGGCTGAGTGGCTTTCTCAGGTGTTGATTTTGAATTTTTCACTCTCTGGGGTCTTTTCAGGGACCACAGTTCTCAAACGTGAGCACCTGTGAGATTCACTCTGTGCTTGTTTGGAAAATCAGTGTCTGATCCTTTGTTCGGGACTTCTCTGAGCAGATGGGGCCCAGCACCTGTGGTTGAGTGGGTTGCATGTTGGAAAACAAGGCTGCAGACAATGCCCTTTTAAGAACTAGGATGAAATTCTTCCCAAGAGTCCTCTGCCTCGCTATCCTACACAGCCTTGGCACCCCTGAACCTTTCCCAGCTAGAGTGCACTGTGAGGCAGGGGCAGGGATGCTGCAGAGAGGCCAGAAAGTGTCCAGACATAGAGTCACATCCGTGGAATACTTCGGTCCTTGGTCCCCTCACAGTGCAGTGAGTTCCCCAGGAGGCTGTTCCTTTCTCTGCCTCCCCCGAGGGACAGGCAGTACCCTGCTGCCAGGATGCAAAAGCTTTTAAAAAACTTTTCCCCAAAGAATACTCCAGAGTTGCGTTGGAGCTTAGGATCTTACAGAACATGCAAACATCCAGTCCAATCCCTTCACTTTATGGGAAGAGAACCTGAT